ATTTTCATTTTTTGGGTCAACTAATGTGGAATAGCCCCGAAAGAAAATGGATAGTCACCTCCACTTTAGGCCCTCTTCTAGGTGTTTTATAGTTGTCGTCGTCTGCTGGAGTCGATGGAAGAACATAAGCTTGTTGTTCAGGTGTTTCAACTTTTACTTTACTTTTTCTTCTCTTTGGTGGAAGATCAAGCCAGGGCGCGTCAGCCTAGAATTATGTGGGTGATTCTGAACTGATTCTAAAAGCCTGGGCTTACCTTTTTGTCTCCTCTTTTATCGAAAGTTTTAGCCGGCTTGGTTGAGAAAAAGTTGTAGGTTGTCTCTTCATGGTAGATCTTCGGCTTCTGCAGATTCTGAATCACAATCCAGGAAATATCCTAGCCGAGCATCACTCACCTCGATAGGTTTGGGTGAAGACTCATTTGGAAACAATTCATTTCGAGCATGCACAGCTTGGGAAAGAAAAAGCCCTGGTCGCTGGGTAGATGTCATCACCGGCCGACCGAACTGTGGCACACTGTCGCTGATAATGCCATCTTCGCTGGAAAGAAGGGAAAACATGTAAAATTGAAGGCAGTGTCCATGCAAAAAGTCGGTTTTGAGATTTTGCGTTTATCCGGGTCTATCCGCTATGCTGAATCCGAAAATCCACACAGGAGAGCGAGAAAACGTCGAAAAGGGGCTCTAACACAGGAGGGGATTCAGCAGGCGCTGGGTTCCCCCCTATGGATCCACGCTCCCAGCTGCCGGAGCGACCTACTCGGTTCCGGTTTTGAGTCATGCATTCGCACTTGGTCAGTGGTGGTATGAGGGCGGTTAAAGGAGTCGAGAAGATCGCTCCGGAACCTGGAAGCGTGAATTCAAAGTGGGGAAGACCCCGCCCATCTACTGATTTCCCTCCTGCGTTAAAGCCCTTTTCACCGTTCTCGCGCTCTCCAGTGTGGATATTCGGATACAGCAAAGCGAATATGCCCGGTTCAGCACAAAATCTCAAACGACTCTGCGCGGACACTGCCAAAGATCTTTAGACCAAAGAATCATACACTGGAGTCACTGTGACGTCATCATCCGAAAAATCTTCATCAGTGATGTTGACAGACGGACATGCCTTAGGAGCAGTAACCTTCTCTTCAGAGATGCCACCATTCAAGAGGGTTGTATTTGTGGGCGGGGGAGTGACGTTCAGTTCTTCGGAAAAATCACTAGCCGGGGAGCTGTAAAAAATTTTTGATTGGAGTTAAATAGAAAAAAATAAGCTCACCTTGCCTTGGATTCCTTTTCATCCATGTCGACAAAGCGCTGAGTACTAATGAACTCATCAATAGCTCTGAATG